CAACAATGCCCAAATTCTACTCTTACATTACCTCTTGTCCTATTGCTATTTTAAGATTGATAAAATGTCCTTGGAATTTATGTTATGCATTTGCATTTAAAGTAACTTATGAAAGTTTTAGGCTGTTTGCAGATGGAGAAAAGCTATGAAGTAGAAGAAATAGCCTCGCTTTTTATCCTGTGAATGTATATTCCTTCTCGCCTTCATGATAATTCAGTCCGTGTTAGAAATTTTATCTATGCCTCTCACTTGTTACTCTACAACAATATTACCAGATTTATAACCTTAATTGTCTGGTAAGGAAGTCATTGACAAGGATCCTTCCTTAATATATTCTTTCGTTCATATGAATTGTGATCAAGATTTGAACGAATAGTTCCGAAATAATTAGGCGCCAAATGAGAAGTGGACATATGTAAAAAAAATTAATATTTGTAAAATCTCAGTGAAATTGAAATAAGTAATTCTAACGTTTCGTTCGGCAAACTTGTCCGAACTTCTACAGAGAAATTAGTCAAAATTCTAACTTCTACCAATTCATGAGCCGTTGAATCGGGTCCCAGTGGCTGAATGGTATACGAGCTTGCCTTGTAACCGGAAGGTCCTGGGTTCGAACCCTGGAAGTGGGTGCGTACTGCCAATTATTCCCGAACTAGGATGAAACAGCTGTCCAGTACTCCCTGTTGGTTTTCAATGGTTCTCTAACTGATATCAACCCGTGATCAACTCGTAAGAACAAAAACAAAACTAACCCTTACAAACCAAACTATAGAAAAAGGTGTATGCATAAAAGGACATATCTTGTCTTTGAAAACCTTGTCCAAGCATATGAGTTATATATATGTCCACTTCAACTCTACACCATATAACATTTTAATTATCTATAGTTTGGTTTGTAAGGGTTTGATATGTTTTTACGAGTTGATCATGGACAGATATCAGTTAGAGAACCATTGAAAACCAGGGAGTACTGGACAGCTGCTGTTTCATCCTAGTTTGGGAATCATCGGCATTACGCACCCACTTCCAGGGTTCGAACCCAAGACTTTCCGGTTACAAGGAAAGCTCGTATACCATTCAGCTACTGGGACCCGATTCAATGGCTCATGAATTCTAACTTCTACCAATTCGTGATTTAGCGCGACCCCAATCGTTGTCGTTGGTGGGACATCCATCCACACACGTGACATCTAATTGGACCTCAGTGGTCACGACTTCTCACTAGAATTCCAGGAAACTCTATCCTGTAGCAAGTCACTAGCGAGCATCAGATTAATTTTCTATAGTTTGGTTTGAAAGGGTAATTATCGTTATTCTTATCACATATATATGTATATTGACTGAACAATTATTTAGTGCCACTTAATAACTTTTTCTGTAATATAAATACGATTGTACAGCTTGAAAATGAAGTCGTTGAAAAGAAATTTCTTCGCTGAACAAAAAAACTGTGTTTTTATATATAGACATGAAAATATCATAAACAAAACTGCATGAACTGTGATCAAAATTTGACCTCAGACTTTATAATAAAGGTTTTTGTATTTCCCAATGAATGAAAAACAAAACGATATTGTTGTTTTTACTGACGTTTCGCTATTTAATGCTGTTAATAGCTTTATCAAAGTATTATTAAACCGGAGTTTACAAAATCTCAGCATATATAAAACAAAGAGTTAAGAGGTGAGAAAATAGACTTAGGTCAAAATAAAGTTTTCATTCATTGGGAAATACAAAGACTTAGGTCAAGTTAAAAGGACATATTCAAAATAAAAATAGCAATGAAGATCACTAAACCAAATAACAAAAGTAATAGTACGTCTGTTATGATATCAAAATAAAGTTTACTAACTTGATCATCGTTCCTCTCTCTGGGGGCATTTTTAGTTGTCAAGTTGGTCAATTGGTAAAGATAACAAAATCAAGTGTGGATTGTTGGATTTGATCGGTGTGTAAAATTATAAAAGTAGCGTGTGTTTACATAGTGAACTTGCTTATCACATTCGTGTTGATTTTGTCACTTCATGGGGGAGAGAGGTGTTGTAACCAGGTCAGATTCTGTTTCAGTCCATCATTCCTATTCAGAAAATTTGGATTCCACTTGATATGAAGTGCTTCTGATATTAGACGTTCTTTGTGATTTCTGAAGTTTTTCTGGATCATTTCAATATTGTCAAAATCAATTCTGTGGCCTGATTCTATAGAATGTAGACCTATGGCTGATGATTTTTCAAGCTTTTGTAGTTCAACGGGATTTCTCGGTGGTCGAACAGATGCGGCTCTACGGTGTTCATTTCTTCTGATTTTGACTTCTCGAGATGTTTGTCCGATGTATATCGCATCACATTCCGGGAAAGGATTTTATTTTATAGACAAAATTAGATAGAGAATCTTTAGGGACAAGGTTGCTTTGAAGTGTGTCTGATGTTTTGAAGAAAACTCTAATGTCAAGCTGATTGAGTACTCTTCTACTCTACTTTTGTTAAGCACTGTAAACAGTGTGTACTTGTGCATCAGATTTTCAGTGACTTTGTTCGACTAAAGCTCATGGTCATAGATAACTGAATATGGAAAAATAGATATGTATATGCGGTATACAATGGTGTATGTGTTCTTAGGTGTGCATGCGGCAACAACTGTAAATCATTTATTAGCCTCTGCATAAGACGATATAAACGATCGGGAATTCAGATCAAGTATGATTGATGTTCACTTCTGTTCAGACTTTTGGAATTCATGTAAGCTTGCCCATGTAGAGCTTCTGCAGTCACTCTTTCTCTCTTTATGCGAATCAAAACCTTTCTGTAGAACCTTGATCCTTTCAATATTGATCTTGTATCCTGTTTCTACCGAGTGTAGTGCAATTGTTGATCTGTTTTTGTAGCTTCTTCAAATCTTCAGATGCCTTTAGACCCACCTTTAGACATTGTTTATGCTCTTTCACTCTTATATTTACTTGTCTGTAAACTTCTGCTACACATAGAGCGTTACAATCCCCACAACGCACGCAATTTTGTTGGTTGTCTTCTACTTTATCGTTAACCTTCACCAGTGATGAGTGTAAGGTGTCCGTTGCAGAAAATACACTCTTATGTTGTCATGGTTGTTAAGGATACAATTTATCTCATCCGATTTTTCTCTGTGATGGGGAATCACCATTGTACCAACCCGAGTCTTAGCAACAGGTTTCGATTCTACCTTATTTTCACTTCTTAAATATCTTTTTATAAAGGCTTTCGTGTAATTATTTGATTCAAGAGTGGACTGAAGTAATCTTAGTTTCCTGTAGATTTCCTTCACCTCAGTAACTAGATGTTTGACTCTGTTATTCAGATTCTTAGCCACAGTTAATTTTGTGGTAAAGGGATTTGCTGAACTGTCATCCAGGTATCTGTCAGAGTATGTAGGCTTTCTGAAAATATTTATCTTACGTTTACCATCTGGTTGTACTTTTACCAAACAGTCCAAGAAAGCGAAATCATTTTCGTCGGATTCAACCTCTTTTGAAAACTTAATGGTTTTTGATATATTGTTTATTAAATGAAAAAAAGATCATTCAATATACTGAGTTTGATTGTGACGAAGTTATCATCCAAATATCTTAACCATGTTTTTGGAAGATTAGGGCATCTCATAATTGTATTTGTTTCTAGTAAGCGCATAAACAGATTGACTACTAAAGGAGATACTGGTAATCTCACTGCAATGGCTTCTGTTTGACAATAAAGAACCCATCTATGCAAAGTTCAACAATAGCGTCCCAGAAGTGCGAACGCACGAGTGACCCTCAGCTGACCAATCATAAAACTGAGGAATGTTTGCGCAAGAAAATGCTTGAAAACGCATTAAACAGGTTACCTTTCTCTGACATGGCTTAAAAATACGTCTTAGTTGCAAAGAGGAGTATCAGTTGATAAGTTAGACTAGTTTCTGTACATGTATTCACCGAGATGACTACAGATAAACTGTTTTTGTGAATCGTTTATCTCTCCCATCCTGCTTGCAATCTTCCAAAAAAAGCCCTCGGTTGAATTATTATGGTTTCCAGCAAGAGGATAGACGACTACTTACCAGGAAAACGTGGATAATAAAAAAATCAAAATAAAGGACATCAACTATAAATCTATCCCTAATCGTAACCATACGCTTATTCCTGGCCCTAACACTAAACCTAACCTTGCTATTAACACATCGTCTAGACAGTACTTAAAAACGTGATCTGGGTGAAATTTGCTCTTAAGTTGGTGAATAGCGTTCATATTTCAGCTATGATAATGACAGATGCCGTTAGCCAACGACTAGCATGCGTTCAAGGTCATTGGAGCGTACACACTCCTGGGACGCTATTATTGAACTTTGCCCCCATCTAAATATAAATAACGTGGAGCGTAAAAACAATCCCAATACCTTCATAATTTCATCTGCATTTTAAGCACAACAAACACTGAGTTCGTGGTTATAACAAAGTACACTATACTCAAAGAATCTTTTATGGGAACATTCGTGAATAATGAATAAACATTGAAACTTGCCATTACTTCATCTTCTTCAATAGAAGTCGTGTTGATTTTTCTTTCTATGGACTTAGTATTCGATAATTGTATTTGTAGAGTTTGTAGGCTAGAGAATTGGTAAAATCCACAGCTAGGTGCAATGGAACATCTGGTTTGTGTATTTTTTGTAATCCATAAAATCTACAAAGACTGCAACCTTTTTGGAGCCAGAGTGATACACCGAGTTTCTCTTTTATTGACTATAACCTTTTGCATGCTTGTTTCACAGCCTTCAATTTATTCAATATCCCCCTTGACTTTGTCATGTTGACTTTTTCATAGGGTCCGATATGTATATCGAAGTGTTCAGTAGCTTTCTTTTCATAATCTACAGAGATCGTAACACCCGTTTTGGTATCGCCTTTCTTTATCTGCTTGTCCTCTTCTTGCAGGAGTTTTAATACCACTTACTCACTTTCCGTGTTTGTTCTTTATTTCTCTCTACAGGTTTAATTAAAGATTATACTCAAGACTATCGACCAGCTTTTCTATTTCTTGGTGGAATGCAATTTCTGGGTTTTTTAACAGTTCTCAGTGCAACAATATGGGCTAGAATAAATGCTCGTAAAAGAAAAGAATTAGAAGTTTCTGAAAATTTAATACATAGTAGTAGTATGGGCAATATATCTGAGATATCATCACATGTCATGAATACAAATGCTATCATCTCAACATCGTCGTCATCATCAAATGAGTTATCCGCCAATACAATTGATGAAACTGTACCAGTTGTTGTGACCAAAACTGACAATGATATACCTACACCACAGAGTTCAAAAATATAATTGTTTAAAAAAGAGTCGGTTATGTAAGTAAGCAAATGTATTTACTTATATCATTGTTACATAACTATTATTATTGTTTCCTTTAGCTCCTAGAGGAACATAGGGCCTCAGCCGCATGTCTCCATTGTATTCGGTTCTCTGCCAACGTTCTCATCACCTGGCTCTACGTCTGCCCACATGCTTTCATCTCCTTTCATCACATGACCTCTTCCAAGTCACTCTCGCACTGGTGACCAACTCTCCGCTTCCTATTCGGGTTCCATTCGAGCGATGGCGTGGTATGTTATGTCACTTGATGGTTTCCTCAGGGTATGGCCAGTCCACCTCCAATTCTTCCTGCTTATTTGCTGCAAAATTGGTTGCTAGAGATCCCCCCCTGTTGCTGATCTTGAGTGGTATTGAGCGAATACAGCTGTGGATGAAAGTCTGTGGTCTGTTTGACGCGCCAAGTTTCTGATCCGTATAGTAAGTGGCACTGACTTCATATTGGGTTTGAAAATCCGGATCTTATTTTTCGTGCTGAGTGCTGTTGACTTCCACACAGACTTGAGAGTACTGAAAGCTTGCTTTGCTTTCCCGATCCTTGCTTTGAAATCCTCATCAGTTCAGTCCACCTGTATTTGATACGATGCTTCTCAGGTAGGTGGGTAGGTGAAGGAGGTTGCTTCTTTCAGATTTCTTCCATTTATGCTGATTATTGTCTGTTGTTGTTGCCGTGGCTGTTGCGGTTGGCCAGGAATCTTCATGAATGCCTGAATTAGTCGCTTTAAGCTTTAGCTGTCAGGTTTTAGTTGCAATGGTTTCGTTCTTACACGGTAGGCTTGGTAGCCTCATACTCAACCTTTCCTGTATACCGGGCTTACATCCAAATGGCCAGGAGAGATTGAAGAGTGCACTGGACGGGAATCGGACTCCGGATCACGTTGATGGTAGCCTCTGATATGAGGTAATAATAATAATAGTAAATGTGTCTAAAAAATGGGGATACAATTGATTTCAAATCAGATTTTGTAATCAAGCAAGATTATTTAGAGTATGGATGAAAAGCAGAGAATAATGGATGGGCTAGATTACTTGTTTCCCTCCAACTTTGGACTCATCAGTGGTGTACAAATGAGATTTTGATTAGTATTCCGTTATTTGCAATGATCCTTTAAGTAATGTCAGTTTATGATTAGTTATACATTAAAGAAAATGAAGCAATCGAAACCAAGGATCACTGGAAAGACTAGATAGATGCTAATCCCTATTTTAGATCCCCTCAGCAATGTTTACTCACGACTTCACGGGGGATTGAACCCAGATGCTTCTTTATCTTATGAAGCCTGCCCATCGACCATTCAGTCACTGATAATCAGTGAATTCTAACTTTTGTTAATTTATGATATCATGTGTTGGTTTGTGGGGCTATGCTTGATTTCATTGTAGATCAGTTAAAGAACAAATTGTTTAGTATTCTTGAATAGTACGCATCTATGACTGCAGAATGATTTGAAATCAGGAGGTATCTTCATATTACAAGGCGGGTTTGTTGACCATTCAGCCTCTGGGTTCGATCCCTAGTAGGACCACAGAGTGCATCCTGGATGAAGAGTCCCATACAAGGACGAAACATCAATGGTTCTTTAACTGAAGTCACATCGTGATGAATCCAATGCTAACAATGACTAGTTCACAGACATGACACGGTCCCACCGATCACGCCTTCTCAATAAAAACTCCAGAAATTTCATTCCATAGTCAATCAATGATGACCAGTGGAATAACTTTCAAGTATGGTTAATTTTACTGTTTTTCATTTAATTTTCCTTTTTTAGGTTGACAAAATCTGTGTAGGCGAGGGCTTTCTTATCCTCTGAATGTCAACTTACTACTACTCAAACAAAAACTGATGATGTGACCATTTTTTATAGCTGAAGCAAAAAAAAAAGTCATTTTCTAATTTTATTATTATTGTTATTGTAATAACACGCTATCAAATCTTGATTACAACAGATTAGTACAAATTTTGCTTAAATCAATAAAGATAATACCAAAGGTTTATTTTTTAACTTGCTCTGTCCCTCTATCCATCCATCACACCATTTCCCCCTCTTCATCTTCCTACCAGATGCTGATTCTAGTTATATATATGTATATCTTTTGCTTATCGAATCAAAACCACCATTCTTCCTTGTTGTTGTTGTTGTTGCTATCGTTGTATCGAACTGTTTTTTTTGTGTAGAGATGGTTAGTAATCACTGTGTGTGATTGTGTGTGTGCGTATGTGAGAGTTCCCTCTTCCGCCGCCTCCTTTTTATTGTATCATTTTGTATTTCGTCTTTTCCTCCTCCCCCCCTCTGTCTATGCATCCATCTTTCTGTCTAGCTCTGTCTGTGTATTGGCACACTATGAATCTTCAGATATTCCCCAGTGTGTGAAGAACTTGTCTTCCACGCCTCTTCTTCTGTTTTCATTTTTCCTATGTGAGTATTTTTCATTCCTTATTTCTTCTATTTTGTGAAACATTATTATGATCATCACTGTTGTTTACAACAGATAGATCAATCTCTGCGCGTGTGTGTGTGTGTATGGTATGCTGATCCGTTCACCTTCTTTCATACTTCTCATACTACACACCCCCGTATGCATGCACACAATCACACATGCACACACACCACATAGTCATATACCTACAAACGAACAAAACTACTGTACTACACACACAGCAGTATGTGCATGTAAATAAGCGCATTTTTGTTTTTCATCTTGTCATCATTTCTCTTCTTCTATTTGTCTGTTTGGCTTGTTTGCTTGTTATTTTTAGACTTCAGTTAGCCTGTTAGACACCTTCACTCCACTCCCTTGAAATCAGTTTACGTGTATAGTCAGTCACAAGTGTATATATATGCATGCATTACGTATATATTAAATTCAATGAAGACAAAAAATGAATAAATAATTAGAAAATAAAAACTTATTGTCAGTATTGTTGTTATTATTCTTGTTTTTCATGAGTTGATTTATAAGGATTGGGGGTTTCGATAAAGAAAGAAAGACGAAATTTGCAGTATAAAATGATATCATTCTATTTCACAGGTTCTCATCAGCTGCACACCACTACCTGACATTACAATGGCTATATGGATGATAATAACATACTTTAATGTTTGAGTAGTAGTAGAGAAGAGATAAAATTGACGCATCTGGTTTTCTGAACATATTCCAAGAAACCTGTGCCTGAAAGGAAGCAAATATTCTCAGAGTGCAATTACCAGAGCAATTACTGAAGCGATCGCAATCAAACGATTCAAACCAGACTAATGCATACAGAAAGATAGAGTGTGATTAACCTCTCACTCCCTTGGTAACTGAATTTCGATTTTGATAACATCAATTAGTCATCTAATTCAGTGATCTCAACTCACTGAACAAATCTTAATCTCATAAACTGTAACCGCTTTTGTTTTATTGAGTTGCTACGGGAACCTACAAACTAACACTGTTCTGCTGATTAATTTTTCTGTTTTCTGTCTTATATCTCTCCCCCCTCTTTTCAACTTTGAAAGTGTATAAATTGATATGATATAAATTGATATGATTATGAACAATAAATTTTGTTCGAAACGTCATCCAGTAAATAATACTGTTTCACTGTGTGATATACCTAATAAACAAACTAATATGGAATTACTTACTACCACAGTGCCCAAGTTTTACACATATATGTATAAATTGATGTTGATAACTTAAACTAAAAATTGTAATGCTTTCATTCTTTTTTGGATGCGTCAATTTTATCTCTTCTCTACTACTACTCAAACATTAAAGTATGTTATTATCATTTATATAACCATTGTAATGTCAGGTAGTCTGCAGCTGATGAAAACCTGTGAAATAGAATGATATCATTTTATACTGCAAATTTCGTCTTCCTTTCTTTATCGAGATTGGGGGTTTGTTTTTCGAGTTTGCCCACGGATTGATATCAGTTAGAGAACTATTGAAAACCAGGAACAACTGTTTCATCCTAGTTTAGGAATCATCGGCAGTACGCAACCACTGCCAGAGTTCGAACCCGGGACTTTCCGGTTACTATTCCGCCACTGGGACCCAATTCAATGGCTAGCCCATGAATTGTAACTTCTGATTGGTGTTTTCAGTGTGACCACCGACCAATATTATTATTATCATTGTCCCCTTGGATTCCGAGTGGAATATAAGCCTTCAGAATCATATTGTCGTTGTTTGACCACATGATTGCCTCCATGTTATACACTTGGATTCACGTCCAGTTCGTCTTTTTCCTGTTCGAATTCCACAAGAAGGCCTGGAGCGTCATATCACTTAGTCATTTCTTCAGTGTATGTTCAATGGATTTCTACTTTCTGCATAATTGTTGGGTGACTGGATTGTTTCTTGGTTGATTTGTTGTCTGTTAGAGTTCTTTGTCGTTTATCTTTTCCAGACTGGCCAGATGATTTTCAGTGAGGAGAGAGAGGAGCAGCTGTTGGAACTGCTTTCTGTGATTAGTTAATTCTCTGAACTATACAGAAGTACTGATTATCTTCACATTTGGTTCCATATTAGTTTGTTTATTAGATATATCACTACACAGTGAAACAGTATTATTTACTGGGTGACAAGGTTTCGAACACAATTTACTGAGGTTCATAATCATATCAATTATAATCACACGACTTCGAAACTTCAGATTCTTTGCTCTCTCTTATTTGTCGTCTTTGGGGTAGTAGAATTTTCCAGATATCTGGGACAGTTGCTGAATCATTCCCATTACACGTGTTTGCAGTTGGTTCGATAAATAAAGCTTCTGTTATCAATCTCTCCCTTCACCCTGTTACAAAATTAGATTTTAAAACTGTTATCTTATTCCATCCCATCCTCTTGTATGGTTGTGTGTAAATGCATGTAGTGTAGTGCTATAGCTGAACTATTCTCCAGATTTCTTATCTTATTCCGGTCAACTATTCTAGATTTTCCTAGGTTTTTATGCTCAGCTAGTCTGACTGCACCTGTTCTACTTCTCTGGCCTATTTATTTGACCTGATAATCTTTGCAGGCAGAGTATTAGATGAACTAAATTGTTTTGTTTTAAAGGCTCCACAGGATTGATCCATTAACCGACAAAGCTTGTTTCTAATTGAGTTTGTCGGTGGTTTGAATGCCAGCCACTTATATTCCTGCCTTGTTAAGAATTGTGCGTAAGGTTTCCGAAGCTCCTTCCTTGTATGGAATTATTACTGATGACTTAAATTTCTTGTTGTTGGTGTTGTCATTATCTTGCGCATGTTTGACATGCATGTCGTCATTAATATTATTATTATTATATTAATAATCTGAGTGTTACGCGTCCAATTTCACTGTCTAGTGTCTGTGTAAATGACTAGATAGAGGGTTTAGCTTCTGGATGTGAAGATCTTACTATTCCTGGAACAAGACAGAGGCAGTGAGATAGAGTATTTCGTGCAATTGTCGACTAATTGCCACTAGGTGCCTGTCTGCTGAGTGCACAGCTCCAAAATATTCTCAATGAAGTTATGCAGTTATGCATTATAGTACAGGTATTTTGTTTTTCCAGATGAATGAAAAACAAAACGATATTGTAGTGTTTACTGACGTTTCGGTATTTAATGCTAATAGCTTTATCACGGTAGTAATATTAAACCAGAATTTACAAGATCTCAGCTTATGTATAACGCCTTAATCATCGTTCCTCACCACGGGGTCATTTTTCGTTGTCAAGTCGGCCAATTGGTAAAGATAACAAAACCAGGTGTAGATTGTTGGATTTGATAAGTGTGTAAAAGTGTAAAAGCAGCGCGCGTTTATGTAATGAAATTGCTTATCGCATCCGTGTTGATTTTGTCATTTTATGGGTGAAGGAGGGGTTGTAACCAGGTCAAATTCTGCTTTAGTCCATCATTCCCATTCAGACAATTTGGATTCCACTTGATATGAAGTGTTTCTGATGATATTAGACGTTCTTTGTGATTTCTGAAATGCTTTTTCTGGATGATGATTTCAATACTGTCTAAATGAATTTTATAGCGTAGCGTGTAGAAGACCTATGGCTGATGATTTTTCAAGCTTTTCTAGTTCACCTGGATTTCTCGGTGGTCATTCATTAGGAAATACAAAAACACCCTTCATTATAATGAATATCAGATACCCAATGTCCAAATTTTTTCAAACTGTTAAAAGTAAGCTTGGTTTGAACATGTATATATCATACAATTATGGATGAGATGTACTCTGGAAATTTTTCGGCACTAAGACATCATGCAAATCCTCATTATCTAAACGGTTGTAACTATTACTTACAGTTAAGCACCCTGAATTCAGCACTCACTGATTCCTGGAAACATTACACTGTTTTTAACTGGAAAGGCTCTAGTTCATTGTTTACTGAAGTTGATGTGCCCGACTTACCATATTCTTCTAAATTTAATTTTACTTAGTATACTGGTGAGCTGATAGTCTTCATTCTAGGTATTTCTGCATTAGAGTGTACTTGTAGGAATAGTTTCTTATCTGAAATTAACCGATGGTCTTATTCAAATTGTCTCAAACTGAATTCCTGTAAAATGTAAGACTGTTTATTTTAGTTTCAGGTGTGAAGAAGACGTGTGTACTGATCCATTCCCATGATTTTTGTAATATTGACGGCAGTGTGTTAGGAAGTAAATTGAGTATTATATATCTGAGTCGGTATTGTCAATTTCAAAGAAGATGTTTCATCTGACCCACTAAATAAGGAAGTTGGCACTTCCAGGTATAAGTCAACCACTTTTCTTAAAATGTATTAATTCGTATATTCTATCTATTCTTCTCTGGGCTCCTGAAAAAAGACTACTGTATATTACGTAACATTTTGAAGGCTGTCAGCAAAGTTAGTGGTATGTATTTGACGCTGTTGTTGACAGATATTTCAATTCCAGCAAATAGCTGGATAAGACCATCTTGTTGGTTACTCAACCCCCTTCTCATTCACAAATTCCAACTAGTACCTCTTTATAAAAGACGAGAAGCAGTTTTATTAAATTTATCTTTGTATGATTAAATATAAAAATTTAACCATCCCGTATTCTTTTCAGGATTTTGCCATGGGAGAGAACCATTGGAAAACCCATCATGGAGTACTAGACAGCTATTTCGACCTAGTTTCGGACTCTTCATCAGTACACACCCGCCACTAGGGTTCGAAACCAGCACCTTCTGGTTACAAGGCTAGCGAGATGGTAGGCCATTAAGCCACTGGGACCCGATCCAATAGCCAGAACATGAATTCCAACTCCTGCTAATTCACCATATAGCACGACCACTTGCCAATATCATTGGCGAGTATTGGTCCTCACACCAGACCTGCTTTACCCCGCCTGCCACGAATTCCCACTGGAACCCAGATAACTATCTACCTGAATAGGTTCAGTCGGTAGTGAACATCAGATTGATATTCAAGTGTTGGTTTATTCAGGGATTTGATTTGATTGGTTACAGGATTTCATCATGAGCTAATATCGGTTAAAGGACCATTGGATTCAAACCCATCGACCAATGACGAGTCCCAAACTAGGACGAAACGGCTGTCCAGTACTCTCTGGTGGTTTTCTAGCGGTTCTCTAACCGATGTCAGCCTATGATGAAATCCTGTAACCAATCAAATCAAATCCGTGAAAACCAACATTTGAACATTCCCTAATTAACAGGAATCTGACATTAAGAGACAAATGTTACACAAGAACTAATTAATCTACTTAACATGTCGCAAATATTCTTTGGTGTTTTATAGCTTTCAGAGCTTACATTCCAATTGGAAAATAGGACCTGAAGCTTTGAAGTTTCAGTAACCGTGGTGATTGTTAGTCTTATCATACCTGACCTTCCCGGTTTTCTGAGTCCACTCTTAG